AATTCTGGGAGTTGAAGGCCACACCTCTTCAAGTTGCCAAGGTTGAGAAACACTGTTATGGAGTTAGGATGATGTTATTATTATAATAATGATGTTGAATCTATCTCAGTAGTATTTATTATTGATGTTGTTAATGAGATGTTTAATAATTTTGATAATTTTATTTATTTTAATACATTGTATGTATTGTGAGTCCTGCTGTAAGCTACTTAGAGTTGCCTAATCGAGGCCTTTAGCAGCATTTGTAATAAATAGATAGGTGGAACATATCGCCTATCGCTTCATTTGCTTTGCATCATTATTCTACCCACTGTAGCCCTTGGTCCTGCAAAACAAAACACAACCCTGTAGGGCCCCTAACACCAAAAGGCTCTTCAGCCCTGAAATAAGTTCTTCCCAAGGCATCTGCAAGAAAACCAGGACACTGTGGCAGCCCACTGTTGCTGCATCCATAGATCTCCCCTGGGCGACCCATGGTCCCTCTGCCCAAGCAAGGCCACCTGATGTGGCAGAAGAACAAGCACCATCAAGAGAGAGCCCTTGCTGAAGCCAGCCACCATCCTGCCCAGCGTGTGGAGCAATACACTGCACGTTGGTGTCTCTTCTCCCAGCCCTATCAGTTCCTGCTTGGAATGGAGCTGTCCACTGATGCTGTCCCACAGGCAGAAGACACCCCTCTCAGATACTGTCACAACCACCAGCCTTGGTGCAAACACAGTTCCACAGAGCCACTGGTCTGGGGGCTCAGCAGAGATCTGGAAAACGGGCACAGCTGTCTTCAGATGCCAAGCACTGACCTGGGAGCAAGGAGAAAAATCCATTCAAGTTCTCCCTCCTTTTTTGCCTCTCTTCTCTGTACAGTAAAGCACATTTTTCTTCCTAAGAATGAAGATCTTTTTTCTCTCTAAAGTTAAGGAGATACATAACTCAGGAAGTTTGAGCAGCAGTCCCGGAAATGTGCTAATTTAACAAATAATCTGGTAGAAGATTAATCTCTGTCTTTAACTGTAGAGGTGGATACATAGATGTGTAGTGTTGGCTCCCAAATTCAATTCTGGTCACACAGCAAAGTTAAAGAACCCATTTTTCTCCAGAAGTTCTTAAACTCCAGCTCCCATCATTCCCAAACATAATGATCAATGATTAAGAGTGATGGGTGCTGTGTCTGTTTCCATCAGGAGGGTCACTCTTTCCCTATTCTCTCTGTTATCCAGATAATACTTTTGAAGGCTTGTTAATGCCAATGCAGAGATTGTGGACTTGTTCCTGAGAATCTCACACAGATTTCTTTCTTTCTTCTCCTCTCTTTCAGTGACTTTCTGAGGTCTCAGCCAGAACTTTGCTCCTGAATTTGGCCTCCCTTCATGGCCCTAATAATCTAAAGATTGTTTCCTCTTCCAAATTGCTCAGAATATCCAACAAGATCAGATGAAGCCTTACAAAATTCTCAATATATTTATCCCATTTCTTCTATCCCTTCTGCTCTGAAGAACCCTGCCCAAATTTTGGACCCCAGCATTGCTTCTCTGTCCCCCCATCCACATGCACGGTGGGTTCCATACCTCCAAACCTGATGCCCAGTATATTATCTGCTGTTTTTCATCAATGTGAAGCTGGCAACACCTCAGCTCCCCAGGGTGAACGTTATGGATGGAGAATTCCTCCCTGACAGAATCCAGACACCACAAGCGCAGTGTGTGATCCATGGCCACTGAGGCAGCACGGGTCCCCTTGCCAAATAGTTTTACACATTTCACTTCAGCTGCAAGACAGAAAGGATGGGGCGAGGAAGATCCTCAAAAGAGGATGTCACCCAGCATGCTCACACATCTGGTTGCTGTTCTGGTGGAGCAACCCGCAGATCAAGGTGAATAACTTGCAGCCTCATGAGGCCCTTGGCTTAATTTCAGAAAACTCTCAGCAAATGGACAATTCAGACATCAGCCAAGAGGAATTGTCCCTTTCTTGGAGTTCTACTACATAGGGACAGAGAGTGGCTGGAAGATGTCAAACTGACAAATGAAAAAAGAGTGAAGGAGAAGCCTCAAAAATTGTCCACTCAATCGTCCACTCACTTTTGGGTCTGCTCTTGTTTATACATGTATCTCCTCCCAGCAAAATATTAATTTCCCCACAATGGGTGTCCATTGGGTGGGTCAAAAAGTAAAAATGGCAGCTTCAATCATGTGGTTGTGATTGCCATCTTAACTTTTTTGACCCCCTCTTCCCCACAGACCCCCCTGTCCCCAAAGCTGCCAACCCTTGGCTTAGGTAGATAGAAGAAAGGCTGGGACTATGGCAAACAATTCATAGCAATATTTCCTATTCCAGGGTACTGGGCAGCAAATGAAAAGAAGGCAGTGGACAACAAAGTTTTATTTATCTGCAGCAACATGATTTACTCATGGATAGCAGACTTGGGTTTAATCGTTCATATAAATAAATGCTCTGATGGGTCTTGAAAACCAGACTCTCAAAGGAAAAACTTAGGGCAGCTTTCCATTCAGTCAGACCCTGGGCAAATGCCCAGGACAAAAACATTAGCCTTCTCTTCTTCAATGGATAGCCTTAGGGAGTTGCTGAATCTTGAAAGCTGAATGTATTCTGCCCTGCAGCTAACAGTGTGTACTCATCTCACACACTGAATTCATGCAACTTGCTTGACTCTAAAGTAATTCCTGTATTCAAGTAACATGCTGTGCCCATATAAATAAACCTTTTAATGGTTTGGTGCACACCATATGCTAATAAGACAGTGAGAGTTACATTCCCACAACATGCTGAATCACAACCTATTTTAGCCTAGTCTAATGTGTTATCTGAACCCAGCCACTGAGATTATCCCCAAGGTGTTTATTGCTGGTTCACATAAATAACCCTGGTCTGATTTCTTTGTCATCATAACTGGGATCAACTACAGCCCGTGATGGAGGTTGGCCATTTTGGAGCCTCACCAGAGTGTCCTGTTAGGACGTGTCGCACGGTAAAATCTTCCATGTCCCATACAATCATAGAGCCATCCAGAGAACCAGCCAGAAGCAATTTTTGGTCAAGGCTGAATTCTAGCACTGAAGTGCCTGCAGGGGGGAAAAGGGGGGATTTGAAGAATTATCTTGGCAGATAGAATACAATCCAAGTGGAATTATCTATGATCTACAGGTAGTGAACAGCCTGCTTCGGATTTAATCTGGCACCCTGGGTCCTAAAGCCTCTCCCACTTTTGCCCATATTTTCTTGCACTGTGGTAAAATCCTCCTTCCTATAACAACATGCTTTTTCTACATGCTATCCCCATAACAATTCTTAGATTGGGTTGACAGTCGACTGATCCAAGATCATCTGGTGAGCTTCATGGGAGTTTAGTATTCAAAAGTCTCCCCACTCTAACCAAGGCATTTGGAAGATTTAAGTTGGCATCCATATGGCCCACATGAAAAGATGTTGCTAAACAATGTTTTTTTCAGTGACGCAGGGGAGAGAGGAATAATAATTATGACTTGTTGGGCCAACAGAATATTCTACCTTTAGGGAATGCAGGTAGTGTTTTGCACAGAGGTCCTCCAGGTGGATAGAAGAATCCAGAGCAAGGAATGAGGACTGGATGAGGCCAAGCACCAAACCAGCTCTCACATTGCTCACACACTTTCCCAATGATCTTAGGGTAGGATGGCCTGAGGAAAAACAGCCGTGCCAACATCTCCGTGTAGATCATGCTTGCTTCTGCAGAGGGAGAAAGAGAGGAGAAATAGAACCATCTTCTGTTTGTGTTCTGTTAGCTAAGAAAGAGATTCAGATTTTAGTGAAAACCAAGCCCACTCCAGCAGTGGGATTCAAAATATGCTGGTGCCACTGATCCAAGCATAAAGATTCAGCTGAAGTAGGCCAGAATGGTAGGTATGAGTGGACAGAACTGTGGAAGACCACAATGGATCCTTTCCTCCACCAGATCTATGGTGGTTCATTCATCTGGGAGGAGGAACTTTGCACCTATTAATTTCAACACAAAGGCGTCCTACAGCCACTTAAATAAACTGACTGTACGCTGGCAGCCTTGTTGACATAGACTAGACAAGGTGTTTGGTAACCATTCCTAAATGTCAAGGCTTGCAGTGATTATCTACCTCCATGGATCTGTGTGCTATCCACAAGAGGCTGCAGGAGCAGGAGAGTTTTTTGCAGGAGATGCAGCTCTGGGCAGTTGATCTGGGCAAGGCACATGGCAAAGTCAGAAGTCAAGTTCTCTATGCCAGTGGAGGTAGCTCTGCAGATGATCCAGTTCATGTTCCCTGATGGGAAAAGAAGAGAGTGGGGAAACACATGCAGACAATGAGAACATCACAAAAGCAACCAGAATAAGGAAGACGGAAGTATGGAATAGGAGTATGGCCTACACACAACTCCCAGAAACTCTGACTAGCATTTGTTGTTGTTCAGTCGTTAAGTCATGTCCGACTCTTCGTGACCCATGGCCAGGAGTAAAGGATTCTAGGATGTTCCAATGGAAAACAAACAAAAGCAAGGGGAAAAGTATCCACTTATTGTTAAAAAGCAATGTTTTCTACAGTTCAAAACATTTCAGATTAAATTGGTGTTTCTTTAGGAACTTCATAATATATTCTTGGTATATGCTGCATTTTGTATTGCATATATGGTGCCTCTGAAGAAACATAACGGGACACAGAATAAAGATTTTTTCCCCCACAACAGGAAATGGATTAACCAACTACCACCCCTTCTTTTCTTGGATTGCTATTTACTTCTTGTTGAGTCTACCTAAGAAATAGGCATTCACACAACGTGTAGGTAATTGTGCTGAGTATAGAATTACCACATTGGATCCCTTACCCAAAACATCTCTTTGTAGCTCCTTGAATAGACCTGCCTGCAGTAAATGGAAGGGCAGTTCACTCAACTTCCTCTGGTTTGCAAGTGTGCTGGAGAACCAAAGAGGCTGAGGAGTCACCTAGGTCAAAGGAAACGACATTTAACTTTTACTTTTCTAAAATCCATATAATTCCTTATTTACGATAAGTCAAATCAAGGCATACTTTCCAACCATCAAGTATTGGTACAAGTCATGCAAATGACTTTTTAATTACTTTCTTCCAACTACTTGGTGAGTTTATGTTGCCCTATATCAGGATTCCAACCTGCAGTCCCCAAACTTTTTATTTTGGGGTATCTCAGAGCTCCTTCATATAGCCAAATTTTAATAGCACATTTGCAGATAATGGATAGGCCCCTGTAAAAGGGGGGAACACATAAAAAATGTAATGTGGCCCCTCAAATAATATTCAGATATGTAAGAATGTAAAGAACCACTTTCCCAAGCCTAAAACCCAGAGGAAAACATAGAAAAGCTCAGCTTTACTTATGTGCAAGATATGGGCTCTGAAGCTTTGAATCACCCAGTGCTGTCCTCATTCCTCTTCAAAAGAAATCATATGCAGCCCTGCTCCCTCAAATGTTCCCCATGTCTGTTCTGTATAGATCCTCTCTTGATTTATTTCACATTATTTGTAGGTTGCATGTCTGTATCCTCATCTGAGAATAAGGCCCACTGTGCTCTTTTGGGCTTAATTTTGAGTAAAACGTGTGACTCAGTGATTCTGTTTTACAATATCTCTTCTATGGTCAGCCTTTTCCAATCTGATTTCATCCCTCTCTACCATCTTTGTTGGCATTACAACTCCCAGAATTATGGCCACTAAAATGGGGAAAGAATTTCCAGTCATAAAATTCAACAAAACCAAGCCATTTTCTAGAAAAACAGAGCTAATGTTCATGGTGATTTCTATAACCTTTACTGGGATTCTCTTCCTTCTTCTCCGGGAAACTCCCAGGAAGTACTGCTGTCATGGCTCTCCCAACCATCCATCTCTCTATCCATTCATCCTTCTCTTCCTCAGTTTCCAGAAGTTCACCTTCCTATCAAAGCTCACAGGCTTGTTGGAAGATGGCAGCTGGATGGGCTTCTTCATGCCCCAGCTCCACGTCCCCCTGAAGAAATCTGCTAGGAGCAGGTGACGCTTGATCCTTTCCTCTGGCACAGACAAGTAACGCTGTTCCACAGCTGCCGCCAACTCCCTGCATGGAAGAAGAGATGTCAAAGCTGGCATATGCTTTTTTATCTTCTCAGTAGCCTTGGAGGGAAAGTGACAACTGACCTGTGAGCAAAGTTCATCAGCACAAAGCCATCCGCCCACCGGTCCTCCAGCCATTGGGCCAAGTCCTGGTATAACCGGGCCCATAGCAGGGGTGGAAAGTGGAGGGTCACTTTGCTTGTAGGAGCATGGAGCCAATAAATCTCAGCGAGAACTTCATTATCAAGGGACAAAATATCTTTTTGCTCTGCTTCTGAGAGCCCATATCTGTGGAAAGGGGAGAGGGAGAAGCAGACAGGCAGCCATCCGTTATTCCTCTCTTTCCCTAGCAGATAACTGGGGAGGGGGATGGCCAGACTACTAAGAATAATTCCCTCTTAGTGCCCTTCCTCATAATGACTACCAGCTTTGAGGATTCTCACCATAGAACACCAAATGACTGGGTAACATACAAAGGCCTGTTAGAAGAAAATCATTTTCTAGTTTTCTTCTTGTCTGATATTAACAGGAAGTTAATATATATTAACTGTCAATAAAGTCTTTATTGACAGGAAGTTAATATATATTCTAAATGCAACTGAAGATGAACATAAGTGAACTTTCAAAGTTCTCCACTAAAGTGGAGAAAAATTGGATGAACAATTGGTCTCAGGTTCTCCAGGGGAAATTCTTGATTAGTTTCTTAATTCTAGGAGCCCCTTAGCAGGGTCTGCAAAGAGGAACGTCCTGAATGCTATCTTCTTCTGGGATTTAATGGAAGTATGGAACACAAGGGAGGTTGCAAACTATTGGCAAGAAAATAGGATAGTGACAAATAGGAAATAGATATACGCAACTTGGCCATTTCATCACTAAAGAAATTCTAAAAGCCATCACGTTCCACCCCTGAGAATTTATATGGAATTCTCTTCTCCCTCAACAGAACTTGGGCAATTTCTCCAAGCTACCAGTTATACTCCCCTTTACTGGCAATGGCATCCTGCCATTTAACTTCTGCCAACAGCAGCCACACACATTTGTACTCACCGGGCACAGGCAAGATAGCCAAGTACATGTGCTACTAAGACAGATCCATGCACCACCTCCAGGTGGTCACACAAGCGATGCACAAACTCCATGGCTGTAGATGAAATTGCTGGTGCTGCAAGTAGAATATATGAAGTCCAATGCTGGGCCTGTCTGATGGCCAGGGCAATCTGCAGAGCATACCCACCTTTTGCAAAGCTTTGCAGGAACAGCTCCTGTTGGGTGGGCCTTAGTGTATGCCCTGTGGATGCCAACATTTTGGAGAGAATCACCCCCACTTGCTCTTGAGAAAGAGGCTCCATCTCAAAATAATCCTCTGGAGCCACAGTGTTCTTCTGCAGAACTTCACTTTCTTTCTGCAGCACAGTAAGAATCATGTGGATCTTTGGAGGACAGATTTTTGGCAACCAGAAAGCTCTGTGAGCATTTCTAGTTATGTGTAGCTGTTCCACAGAATCAAGGAGCAGGACAAGTGGCTGTGTGCCCTGGCAAGAAGCTAAGTGGAGCAGACTGTGGAAGAGCAGGACTGGATTGCCAACTGCCTTGGTATAAGGGAAGCCCATGGCTAAGCCAACTTGTAGGCAGAGGCTGTGAAGAAGGCTGTTGCATGTGGAACTGGCCTGTGAAATTCCCACCAAACGAAGTATCACCACTGTTTCCTGACCCAGGGTGGCTCTTATGGCCTCATTCAGATGGCACAACAGAGCTGTTTTGCCACATCCTGATGGCCCACATATGACAAGTGGGGAGTGGGCTCGATGGTGGTTCTGTTTAATGCGTTGGCAAATGTGATCCAGCAGGTCCTGCTGCCAGCAGAAAGCCTGGCTGTGTTCTTGACCAAGGACCATGTGATGAGTGAGCTCTTGAATCAGCTCAGGTGGCTTCCCAAGATTGCTTTCTTGGGATCTCAGGCTCCTGAGCACATGATGGTTGGTGGCAGCAATAAACTGGTCACAGAGATTCTTCAAATATTTTGGCCAGGGCTTCTGCCGGAGGGTGCTGGGTTTCATCTCATGTGGAACCCTGTGAACCTTGACCAGCTCAGGATACATGCTTACAATGTTTGCCTTCAGATCTGCTAACTGTTGTGATTCTTCAGGATGCACCTCATCACCAACTTCAGCTATGCCCAGTAGTGAGTCCACTCTATCTGATGGGGGCATGTCCACTTCTGTGAAGAATACCATGGTACCTTGGCCATTACATTCACTTGATCTGAAGAGGCCAGCCTCAATTTCCTGATGTATCTCTATGAAAGATTGAGAAGAGATGAACAGGGAATTCAGAAGGGGAGCCACACAGGTAAAATGTGGAGCCAAAGCAACTACTAGGACTGAGGAAGTCCTGGACAAGATGCCCACCGGGGAGCCCTGTTCCAGCTTCTTGCCTCTACATTTCTTCCTTCTGATGCTCCCTCCTTCCTTCCTTCCTTCCTTCCTTCCTTCCTTCCTTCCTTCCTTCCTTCCTTC